TACTAATTTGGAATTTACTCAGGTTGATTTCTTTTTTTGGGGGGGGGAGCAGTTTTTCAACACAGGGCAGGGAGGACGCATGTGCATTTTGTAAACGCTGAATGTTTCGCTTTACTGACCTGCCAGGATGATGAGGAATCTAGGGTTGCCAACGTTTGGTTGGGAGGTTTAGGGGTAGGGGAGGGACTTAGCGTGCGTCCTCCAAAGTAGTCATTTCCTCCAGCGGAACTGATGTCTGGAGACCAGTAGTAATACTGGGAGATCTCCAGGCCCCACCTGGAGGTTGGGAACCCCGACCGGGGTTTCAGTAAGGGAAATTTTTTAAATGAACAAATTAAGAGTGCCTAAGAGATGTGGCTCAAGTGGTTAAGACGCTGAACTGCAGGCTGTGGAAGGTCAGTAGTTCAGCAGTTCGAGACCCAGGGGGCCGCAAGACAGAGTGAGCTCCCGTCTCTAGCTCCAGCTCCTGACCACCTAGCAGTTCGAAAGCGAGAAATCGAATGATAAATAAAGTAGATAAATAGGTACCACTCCGGTGGGAAGGTAACAGCGTTCCGTGCGCCTCGGTGTTTAATCATGCCGGCCACATGACCACGGAAACGTCTTCAGACAGCGCTGGCTCTTCGGCTTTGAAACGGAGATGAGCACCGCAACCCTAGAGTCGGACTCGACTGGCTTTACCTTTACCTTTTAAGAGATGTGCATTCTCTCTCCGTCCCAGTGAAATGTTGGTTCTCATAAAAGTGTCCTCGCGATAATCCCAACATGAGAAATGAAATAAGCAATCGAAAATAATCACTGATAAGTAAATAAAAGTATGAACGGAGGCGATAGGAAATACGGATTAAGTGTCGCCCTTTAACATTTATCCTGGGCTGGTAGATTCAGTGTTACAGACGGCTGCCCGCTGAAGAGACAGTCGCAGCTTTCCCGTAAGTGCTTTATAAGCAAGATATTTTTGCCTCCCTCGTTTTGGGATTTAAAAGACAGGAAACCCACTCGGATTAGGAGGCCTAGATATAGCCCAGCGGAGAAGTTGCGTAATCTCGTAGGCTTCCTTTTCTGGGGGGGGGTTAAGAGGGCTGTTGACCCAAGAGGGATGGGGAGGAGAACGGATTTACTCGTTTTTAAAGAAATCTCTAGGAACAGTTTTGCTCCGAAGCCTCAAACACTGAGCAGAGAGGCAGATACAGTGAAAGCTCTGCTTACAGGAAGAAGACGCTGCCTCCCCACCGCCAGGCGGAGACGTGGAGGCCCACACAGCAGATGCATCTGGAACCCGGCCACGGTTGCCATGCCAACCCCCGTCCAGTGTTTCCGGCAGAGTCCTACCATGTAGGGCTGTTAAGCCCTGCTTGTTTTCCAGGGGGGCCGTCGTCATAAACAGTCTGCTAAACACTCTTTGAAAACTAGGGTTGCGATGTGTAATTTACGTGTGTGCATGGGTGTGCATACTGAGGAGGAATTCCGATTATATATGTCTATTTTTAAAAAATTTAAGGTTTAATGTTTTCCACTTCATATATGCATTTTTCTGCAGCAGATTTTGTTAGTCCCCGGAGTTTGGGCTTCGGCACTTTCTCCATCTGCCCGCTCGTGTTCCTGTTCCCGAACACACAGAGCAATGCACTTTCAATCCACTTTGCAAGTCGATTTTACTGTGCGAAATGGCAAAATCCACTTGCAAAGTGATCACTGAAGTGCATTATTCAGTGTGCGTGAAAGCATGAACAAGTGTGTATGAAAGGGAAAGGAATCAACTCCCTCCCACACACAGCATGTCAGCACAAGGATGGGGGAAGCTGCCCCTGTTGAATTCCTGCCTGCAACGCAGCTGTTGAACAGGAGGGAGTCTAGGGATTTGCATATACCCTTGCATTGTGGAGTTCCTTGCGTTGGAGTCTGCCTTAGCTGAAATGCCTCCCTGGGAATAAAGCGGCAAAAGAAATAATGTTCTGGAGGGGGTGGGTGTTCAGATACCCTGGATGCGCTGAAGAGATCAAACCGATGATGAGAGATAAAAAGAGTTTACGGTGGGAAAAAGTGCGTAGATGAAGGCGGACGCGCAGTCTCCTTTCTGACTACGGTTTTTCAGTGGGTTCCGTGCCGTGCCTTATTCATTCTCTGAGGTAAAGGAAGGCGTTGAAAGAAGGGATTGATTTCATTTCGTATGAATGACGTAGGTAAGCCACGAGAAATAATCTCCCCGGGCTCCGTTTATAGAGGCTTGGCGGAGGGGGAGAGAGGAAACGGTTTGCTCCAGAAGTGGTTTCCATAACCGTTTTTGTCGTTTTCCTTTTGCTGGAAAAGCAAAAGCGAAAAAGAAGCCAGAACGTTCAAGGAACCGCCCAGCGCCGAGGAGCCCGCCAGCATACTAGATTTGGTGTCATTTCTTGGTGTCCGTATGTTGATGGCTGTAGGGTGATTGACAGAAAAGTGAAACCAAAAATGGGGTGCGGGGCGGAATTGGGTCTCTGCCCCAAGGCGCTTAAACCACCTGAGCGTCACAGATGCATAAGGGTACGGACTTTGGATGCCTGCCTGGCTATACAGATCTCTCCAGAATCTACTGTGAATGATACGTTTATAATAATGATCGCACAGCCGACTCACAGACAGTGACCCCAGGCGAGAGATGAGCAGAGGTGGTTCTGCCATTGCTTTCCTCTGCATGGCGACCCTGGATTTCCTCTGCGGTCTCCCATCAGAGGGCTAACTAGGGCTGACCCAGCTTGCCTTCCCAGATCTGACCAGATCGGGCTAGCCTTGGGACATTTTGATCAAGGCATGAGACGGACAGTGGTGGTCAACTGCTGCCTGCCTCTCCGTAGCAACCCCGGACATCCTTGGTGGTCTCCAGTCCGAGGACTAACCAGGGCCGACTCTGCCTGGTTTCCGAGCACTGATGAGCTTGGGTTAGGCCGGGGCTATCGGGCTGCTCCGATAGTTTCCCTCTTCCTCTCGGATTGTTCTAACAAAACCACCTTTAAGCTGGCCAGATTTTGTTCCTTGGCACGTTTAACGAGGAAGTAGCTGGTTAAGTCTTTTTATCTGTATTAAGCATGTCATTGTTAAAACCAGTCTGTTATGCGGCTCTGGGATTTTAGTCCACATAGACGTACTGGTGACTGCTCGTGCGTCGATCTTCTCCGACGTGATCATAATAAGTGATAAATGTGTGTGTGTATACACACACACGCACTATCTGCATTTGGTGACACCACCCCTCCATGCTCCTTCTAAGCTGTGGAGTCTTGTGAGCAAAAATTCTACTTTGTGAGCTGCTGGCATTCAAGTTGTGAGCGAGCCGTTTGGCTGCTGCAGAAATTAGTCTGCTCTGGAGCCCTCCTTCCTGAGCTAAGATAAAAAGGTGTGAGCCGGAGGCTAAAAAACTGTGAGCGAGCTCACACTAACTCAGCTTAGAGGGAACACCGGTCACCATAAGTGAGACTTGATAGCACTTTCCACCAATGCTCCCTCTAAGCTGTGGAGTCTTGTGAGCAAAAATTCTACTTTGTGAGCTGCTGGCATTAAAGTTGTGAGCGAACGATTTGGCTTCTGCCATCTGGAGCCCTCCTTCCTGAGCTAAGACAAAAAGGTGTGAGCTGGAGGCTAAAAAACTGTGAGCGAGCTCACACTAATTCAGCTTAGAGGGAACACTGGTGACCCCCCTCCCCTCCCCTTGTCGTTCTGAATTTGGTGGGGAAGGAGAGCTACGTACCTTGGCTCTGCTCTCCTTTTCGCTTGGTCTTCCCTCCTGCCTGTTTGTTGTGTTCATCCACCCTGGTGCTTTGGTTCCAGAATGCAGCCGCAATACAGCCTATAGTTAATCTGCGGAACTCACTGCCACGGGATGTGGCGATAGTGGCCAAGTCGGAAGGCTTTAAAAGGGAAGCGGACAAACACACGGAGGGCAGAGCTAGCAATGGGCTAGCCGTCATGACGGACATCTACTCCCTCCAGGACCAGAGGCAGTCTGCCTCTTTAAATCAGTTGCCAGGGAGCATGAATGGGAGGGTGCGGTTGCAGCCGTCCTGCTTGTGGGCTTCCTGGAGGCAGCCGGTCAGCCACTGTGTGAACAGAGTGCTGGACTTGGCGGGCCTTTGGTCTGATCCAGGAGGCCTCCACTTATATTCTTATGATAGGTTAGGCTCAATGTTCCCTCTAAGCTATGGAGTGTTCTGAATAAAAATTCTACTTTGTGAGCTGCTGACATTAAAGTTGTGAGCGAGCGATTTGGCTGCTGCATAAATCGGTTTGCTCCGGAGCCCTCCTTCCTGAGCGAAGACAAAAATGTGTGGGCCGGAGTCTAGAAAACTGTGAGCTAGCGCACACTCACTCAGCTCAGAGGGAACACTGGTTAGGTTAAGGTAACAATGGCACTCCCCAGCTGACGGCGGCCCTTGGACAGAGCTGCTGGCCGACCAAGGCCGGGGGTTTTCCTGGCAGCTCTGTCCCCGGGCGACCCTCTCTGCTCCGGTCTGCTGCCCCTTCTGAGCGAGAGCCCCAGGGGATGGGGAAGAAGAGCGAAGCCGAGGGACCCCGGGATGAAGAGCAAGGCCCGGGGCGGGAGATCGGGTCAGGGCGTTGCGTAACCGCAGTGCACACTACGCCCTGCCCTTTGGACGGGGACGCGGCAGAGCGGAGCTGCTGATACAGGCCCAGATAAAGGATGCTGTAAAACCTCATTACTTAATAATGCGTGTTTTGGTTTCCGGGCATCGAGGCCGATATCCAATGCGCGTCCGGCGGCTTGTTCGGGTCACGTCCCACGTGGAGGAGCGAGGGAGTGAGGCGCCCCCCTCTTACGCAAAAGTCCCTCCCTGTCTGCGTACCTGTCCACTCTCGCGGGCCCCCGGGGGCTCGCTCTGTGGCGTATCTGGTTTTGCGCTTAATCCGGACATATTGCTCATCCCCCCTTATCTCTTCTCTCCCCCTGCAGGTATTACCTAAGACTCGCTCTTCTCCGATCCGGCCGCTCTCGCACCGCACACACGGTCCCACGAGCCCTCCTCTCGGACCCACCCGCTTCCTTCCTTCTCGAACGCCTTGGCAGTCGTGGAAGTCCCCGCTTTCTTCCCGCCTCTCCCCCCAGTACCCCCGGCAGGCGCCCATGTCCCAGACGCGGTCATGAGCACCGGCTGTGAGCCTGGGCAGAACCCTTACGAAGGGGGGGCCGGGGGCAGCAATGGTGGCGGCTCAGGGCCCCCCCGGAGGGCCCGGGCGCAGCGCGGGGGAGAGGCCCAGGGCCAGGCCAACGACGACATGGACGCCAACAGCAACGGCTCCAGCGGCAACGAGTCGCACGGCGATTCCAACAGCAGCTCCCGCAGCAGCGGCAACGGCAAGGATTCGGCCCTGCTGGAGACCACGGAGAGCAACAAGAGGTACGGGGCGGCGGGGAGGTGTGTTTTTGTCATTCGTGCTCCCGGTTCCCACCCCTCCTCTTGCCTCACACCTGTGGAGAATGGGCTCTAGGTTGTGTTACTTGCTTGAGCAGGGCTCTCCAAGGGAAACCTCCACGTTCAGAGGCAGTCAACCCCTGAATCATAAAGTTGATAGAATAAAGAAGTTGGAAGGGGCTTAAAGACCACCCAGTTCAGTCCCTTGTACCATGTACCAGGAGGCAACTTCGGGGAAGGCCTCGGCCTCTCTGCCCTGTTGTTGAATCTCCAGAGGAACTGGCTGGCCCCTGTGTGAGACAGGAGGCTGGACTAGAGGGACCCTCCCTGGTCTGACCCAGCAGGGCTCTTTCTGGTGTTCTTTTCAGGGGAAGGCCTTGGCCTCTCTGCCCTGTTGTTGAATCTCCAGAGGAACTGGTTGGCCCCTGTGTGAGACAGGAGGCTGGACTAGATGGACCCTCACTGGTCTGATCCAGCAGGGCTCTTCTGGTGTTCTTATCAGGGGAAGGCCTCGGCCTCTCTGCCCTGTTGCTGGCCCTCCGGAGGGACTGGGTGGCCCCTGTGTGAGACGGGAGGCTGGGCTAGAGGGACCCTTCCTGGTCTGACCCAACAGGGCCCTTCTGATGTTCTTATGAGGGGAAGGCCTCGGCCTCTCTGCCCTGTTGTTGGCCCTCCAGAGGGACTGGTTGGCCACTGCGTGAGACAGGATGCTGGATGGACCACTGGTCTGACCCAGCAGGGCTCTTCTGTTGTTCTTCTCAGGGAAAGGCCTCGGCCTCTCTGCCCTGTTGTTGGCCCTCTAGGGGAACTGGCTGGCCCCTGTGTGAGGCGGGAGGCTGGAGTGGCTGGACCACTGCCCTGATCCAGTAGGGCTGTTCTGATGGTCTTAAAGTTGCACGGCTGCGTGGGTGGATTTGAGTCCCCTCTGGCCCTTGAGACGAAGGGGCCCGTTCAGATAGCCCTCGCCCGCTTTCCCAGTCGTTCTGGGGTTTCTCGTGGCGTGGCTGTCGCGTTGGTCGCGTTAGTCTCGGAGGGCGGGAGCGACCCACGGAAGTCCGAAAGCAGCGTCGCCCACGGGGGCCGGCGCGGTTT